AATACCTAGAAATGAAGTATTGATATGTAGTGATTCACTTTCCACAATTTCATCCATCAAAAACCTATGCAACAGAACATCAAATAATGCAAACAATATGAGCTTATAGCAATCTTGAAAAATTGTATAGATTCCAAAAATATGGTCACTCTTCAATGGGTTCCAACCCATGTAGCACAGATGGTTGGGCCAACGTTGGCCAACTGTGGGACAGTTGGTCGATGGTTGGTTGGAGCTTCTACAACCAACCAACCGTTGTCCAACTGTATATTTCATAGTTAGGCCAACCAATAGTTACAACTGTAGACCAACATTGGTTTATTGTTAATGATATACATTAATATGCATTGCTGGGTATCATACATCAAGCCAACCGTTGTCCAACCGTTTTTCACTCCATATATGGACCAACGATGGTCCATAGTTGAGTTTACATGACTTTCATTCTCTGGATCTAGCTTTCACAACATAATTATAATAATGCAAATATATTTTTTTTTATTAATATTCTTTAACTTATTTGCAACAATTTAAGGGGAAAGAGTAATTAATCACATAACATAACAGTCAATTATAATAGTATTAATAATGTAACGGTAATTAAATCATCTATATTCAAACCCAGTATCCTCTCTAACTCCCCCCCCCAAAAAAAAAAAAATAATAATAACTACTTATGATGCCTTAAATGATTAACAGAATCATATTATACTGTGTAGTATCAAAAATGTATGGTACCACAGTACAGATTTGTACAGATGGGGAAGTACCATCAATATCATAAGGATGATGATTGGTCACACTTAAATAAAACACTTCATAGGATGAATCTATATTTTACTCCACTATGCTTAAAATGTACTACTACAGGGGCTGAAGAATCAATAGAACATGTTATATTTGAATGTCCTCAATATGAATATGCCAGAAAGAAATGTTTTAAAGAAATAAACAAAATAACAAACTATGACTTAAAAAACAAAATAAGAGAAATTTTGTTCTCTTATTTTGTATTCCCAATAGCCACGGCCTCCTTTAACTACAGACTGCGGCCTGGTAGAATTGGCAACGTCGCAAGTAGGATTGTTTTTCAGACGTCCCATAAGAAAACTCGGTAGACAGGTGACATCAGCTCATTAATTCGTGCTTTATCGATTTAAATTAAAATTTATAAAAATATTGAAAATCTATATCTGTACACTTAAAGTGGAGCCAATATTTTCATAGTCCAGTAACCAAGCTTTCGTAAATGCACAAATACCATTAGCTGCTTCCAAACAAAACAGCTGTGCAACCCTACTTGCAACGTTGCCACTTCGAAGGCCGCGGCCTGCTATTATAGCTCAGTGGGTACGATGCCATAGCTTATAATGTCATAGCTTATAATTGCGAATATGTTGCATAGCTTATAATCTTGAAAATGTGGCATAGCTTATAATGGAAAATTTAAAGTGTTCCATAGCTTATAATCGTAGAAATGTGGCATAGCTTATAACGGTTTTCTTAAAATGTGGCATAACTTATAATGGCATAGCTCAAATGTGCTGCAGCTTATAAAATCTCGTTTGTTCTATAGCTTATAATTTTAAAAACGTGGCATAGCTTATAACGCGCGGGAATTACGTCATAGCGGATGGGACAGCTGATCGATCCTGAGTAGACAAAAAAATTATCGTGCAATGGTCCTCAAATTATCGTATGGACTAGCAGCCGCTACTCGGCAATAAGAAGTTGCGTTAAGTGCAGCCAACGTAGCAAAACCAAAAGTATTTCAATTTTTTTCTACTCCTGGACTACATATGTAATAGATGTAGCCTATATATGAAATGGTTTTTTGTTGAATAATAGAATAACTTTTTGTATCTGCTGTTTTACTTTAATTACGTAAGCTGAAATATATTATCATAAGCTTGATGTTGCTCGTGTTGCTTATTTATGCTATGCATGATAACTATTGTATAATATTTATTTTGTAATATTGTGTAATACCGGTGTAAAAATACTTTTTCATAGATAAAACCGTAGACTATGCAACATAAGTAGACTTCTCATCCCATTGTTGATTTTGATGTCGACACTGATCGCTAGTGTAAACGAAATATTGTTTCTATTATATTAGGGTAATTTTAAGATTTGTGCTTTACGGTTTGGTTAGATAACTAGGAGACCAGTTATTTTTTATGATTAGATAGTTTTATTTGGTCAAATTAGGTTTTAAATAACTGAAATAACAATCAAGAAACATATTGTAAAAAAACACAACCTACAGTCGGCATAGAATATCAATAAAATTGCCTTCAGCTTTTCAACAAGGATGACAAATCTTCTAAGGGGCTTAATGTTTGATCTATGATCAAAACATATTTAGTAGATTTGTCATACTTATGGAACAGCTTAAGCCCAAATTGTAGTTTTATTTCTGTACGGTGCAATGTAGATTATAGAGGTCATGTTTTGTTTAAAATTTGTTTCTTATTATTTTACTGTTTACGCCTTCATTTAGCCAAATAAAACGATCTTCTCATGTAGCGGTCAGTGTCACAGGACAAGAACTAAAGTAGACACAAAAACCGAGATTTAAAATTTACAGTCAGAATTAATTCTGTGTTTAAATTTAGAGTTATCTAGCAGATGTTCTTTTAGCAGATGTTAATTTTAGTATTTTATATCTAAAGATAAAAGGAATTGCTTTATAGATCTATGAGGCATAGCCCTAAGGTAGGTCAGTAATTGAAAGTTACTTTTCACACTGGTTAAAAGTAGTTAAAATACTACGTCAACCTCAATACTGTACACTTTATTGGGGTTAAAATTTTAATTAACAAAGGTGCTCTTGCCTTTTCCGGATACACAATTTTAATAACAGCAACGATTGAAGAATCTGAATTATTACTTATATTCACGAATTTATATAACAGTTATTTCCTTTAAAAGATTATTACAGCATCTCAAAAATATTGGAACAGACTCGGTCAACAAATGGCGTTACTGAAAGAATCCCACACTAATGACATTAACATATAGTTTGACAGTTCCATTTAATCAATGTTAAATGTTTACATTCTGGCGAGTGACGTATTTTATTTATGTTTATGAACCATACCGTTCCTGTTCTAATAATAATAATGCAGTATTTAATATGTTTGGACCAGCTGTGTGGAATTATGAAATCAAAATTAATTTGACAGTAGTTAGTTCTGCTTGTTTACGTTTTAAATTTTGTGGATTTTCAAGTGACGACTTAAAATCAAAATTGAAAAATGTACAAGTTACGGAAACTCTTATGACTGAGACAATTATTAATATCTACTCTATTGTAACATGGTTTCATCGTGAAGAATAAATTACCATTTAAAATCATTGTTGTTAAGCGCAACAACGCGCGCCGGGTAACTGCTATAGTTTAAATATTTTAATTATCTTTTAATGTTTTGAAATAGTTGTTTTTGTTTTCACTTTTAAGATTTCGTTTCCCGTTATTATTTCGTGAATATAACCTCAGTATAGGTTCAAGTTTATCAACTGTTGTAAATTATATTTTTTGTTAGTACAAGGCAAATTGTATTTCATGTTAAATTTACCTTAAGAGGTTAAATCCCTGTAGGCCTAAATTATCTGTTAATTCTGTGGGATAGGTAGTTATTTCTGTTTTAACCTTAAGCATAGATAAAAAGAAGTAGCCAAAAGTAGAATGTCTATACTCCTTTAATCTATGCCTTAAGCTTTTAATGTCCCCTCATAAGTTCGTGGATATAAGCGTAAGAAATACAGAAAATAATACGTTCAAATTAATCACCTTTAGAAATTATATTTCTTTTTATGAAAAGTCAATTTTTTGTTCATGTGGCATTTTATACCTGCAATTGTCTGTTCATATTGTGCGATAGCTTATGCTGTTTTTACTTCATGCTTTCATTTCTCTCATAATTTCGTGAGTCTGTTTTCAATTGAAGAAACCTAGATTATCCAGGGTAATGGTGGGAGGTACACCACAGATAAGTATGAAAACCACGGTTAATCCAACACGGCATAAACATGTAGCCTATTACAGGCCCATAAATATGGCCAGACTATATAAATGGACGTTAATTGTGATTATTAATACATACTTTGGGTCCTTTTAAACCACACGTTGTCATGGTTAGGGTAGTTATCACCCAACCACAAACTGTTGCAGTGGTTGCAGTGTTGTGACGTAGCAGAACAGACGATTGTCGGTGCAAAAGCAGATAGTTTGTCCTTGAAGCTATTGATGGATATTTTTGTCTAGCTTCAATTTTATTTTTGTCAAATGAACTGCGATGACAATACACATTCTGAATTGTAAAATTAAAACAGTTCCAATTACTCCATTATTATAGTTTGATGTTATTTTGTATTGTGTTAAATTACTTTTCCTTCTACATTAAACATTTCATTTTGATTGTCAGAAAGTTTGTTTTTGTTTGTTTGAAAAAATAACAAAAATTTTGATTGAAATTTGTCAGTAAAGGTCCTTATAATTCTACACAAAATAGTGCAACCCCCATTCCTGTAACAATTATGTTTCAAAAGTTAATGCAACTTTTCTGTTAAAAAGTAACCCAAGCATGATTTTTTATTGCAAGAAGAATTAAAATATTCTTCCCAAAGATCGGAAAAATACGTTTGACAATAGTTTTGTCCATCATTGATGTAATTTCTGTAATTTCAAAAATGATATATCCAAGTATTTATAAACAGTACTAAAATTCTAAAATCCATACTAAACTCTACGTCATTAGCAAAACTTGACACAAGAAGGCACTTAGTTACCAAAATAGTTAAAATGACTCTTATTAATTACAAAATAATTAATAAATGCACGCATATTAACTCAACACAAAATCTATTTCATGAATTTTTACAAAACAAAAACAATAGAAAAACATATGATAGTAAAAATATGTATAAATGAATTATAAACAGTCTTAGAGAAGACATAACAGTCTCCCCCACTATTTTGAACTTGCAGTGTATTATTATGAAAGCACAAAGTCCTTGTATCGGCCCGGCATTTGCCTTTGTCGCCTTGATCTTTCTTGATTCTCAGGAATATGGCTATTGTTCGTTTCTGTTCCCTGAACTACTGGAACCTCTGCATTGTTTGCTTTGGGAGTTGGTGGTCTTTCGGAAATTGACGGTCCTTCGGAAGTTGATGGTCCTTCGGAAGTTGATGGTCTTACGGAAGTTGATGGTCTTTCAGGAGTTGATGGTCTTAAGGGAGTTGATGGTCTTTCAGGAATTGACAGTCTTTCAGGATTAGAACAAGTAACAGCCTTAGAATTTTCTTTTGTGCTGTGTTTAGAAGCTCGTGGAACATCAAATATGTGGATTGGTCCCGTGGTAACAATTTTTGGTTTTGGTATCAAAGTAGACCGCAATTGATCAATGTGTCGTTTAACAAGTCGGCCTGACTTGTCAAGGGAAACTAGATAGTGTCGAGTTCCCAACTTTTTGTTTACTTCTCCAAACTCCCAAACGTTCTTGTTGTTTATGAAGAGACGAACCTGAACTCTCTCCCCCTCGTTGAATGAACGTGCAGATGGAGCATTTCTAGTTGAAGCTTTTTGTACGTTGGGAAAAATGGCATCCATTCGTATTCTTAACTTCCTGTGGAGGTAAAGTTCAGCCGGTGATTTGCCACATGCTAGAGGAGTTGCCCGGTACCGCATTAAGATCTTCTGGACCTTTATTGCCATTGGTATGTTTTCCGAAGCTGTGGACTTCAGGCGGTTCTTCAATGTTTGAACAGAGCGTTCTGCTAAGCCGTTTGTTGCTGGATGTCCTGGAGATATGAATTTCTGGAAAATGCCGTGCAATTTGCAATAAGCTTGGAATGTATCACTTTGAAAAATTGAGGCGTTGTCAGATACCATAACATTCGGGTAGCCGTGTGTTGCAAAAATCTGTTCAAGCAGATTTATGGTATTGGAGCTGGATGGTGCATCTTTGATTACTTTTATCTCCGCCCATTTTGATCTAGCATCAATACACACGAGGAAGTTGAAGCCTTGAAACGGTCCTGCGTAGTCAATGTGTATTCTTTCCCAGTTCTCTTTTGGAATTTCCCACGGGTGATTGGGAGCTTTGGGCGGATTTGACCGTGTTAGTGCACAATTTTCACATCCTTTCACAAGATGCTCAATGTCCTTGTCAATATTTGGCCAGTAAACATAGCGCCGTGCTAGCTGTTTCATTTTTGTGATTCCAAGATGACTTTCGTGAAGTTCATTTAGAATCTTGTTTCTAAGTAGTGATGGAATGTAAACTCTTTCTCCCCGGAAAATAATGTTTTCGACCAACGTAAAATCAGAATCAGTTGAATTGGTGAGTAGGTCTTTCAAAATCTTAGAGAGCACTGGATCTTTGGCTGTCTCGTTCTTAATGATTTCAGCTGTGATTTCATGGCTTGAAATTTGAAAAATAACTTGGCTGCAGATTTGGTGTACCTCTTTTCCGATTTTCTTGTCTTTAGTAGAGTGAGTCTGTGTAAGAGGAGCTCTTGAAAGACAATCCACGTTTTTATTTTCCATGCCCTTTTTGAACACCAACTTGTAATTGAAACCTGACAGATATGATGCATATCTGAGTAAACGAGCTGAAGTCATTTGTGGTAGAGCCTTGTCATGTCTGAAGATCCTAGATATTGGCTGATTATCTGTTACAAGTTGAAATTGAGTCCCGAATAGGTAATAATAGAAGTGGGAGACACCAAAAACTATGGCTAATGCTTCCCGGTCTAGTTGACTATAGTTACATTCGGCATCAGTGAGTGAACGTGAGGCGTAAGCAATTGGCCTCTCAGTACCATCTATTAAGTGGCTAAGAACTGCAGCTAGTCCAGTAGGTGAAGCGTCTGTGGTGAGGACTAACGGTAGTTTTGGATCGAAAGGTACGAGTATCCTGTTACTGCAGAGCTCAGTTTTGATTAGTTGAAAAGCCTTTTCACATTCTGGTGTCCATTCCCATTTCTTATTTTTGCGTAACAAACGTCGCAAAGGAAAAGTGACAGTTGAAGCATCTGGAAAGAAACGAGAGTAGTAAGAAACCATTCCTAAGAATCGTCGTAATTCTTCAACTTTTGATGGACGTGACATTTCTTTAACAGCTTGAACTTTGGTAGGAGATTTCTTTATTTTGTTTAACTCCACCACTCGTCCTAGATATTCTATTTGTTCTTGAAAAAATGAACACTTCTGTTTGTTTATGTGTAAGTCAAAATCTGAGAGTCGTTGAAGACAGGCCTGTAGATTTCTTTTGCACTCATCCATTGTTGAGCCATGGCAAATTATGTCATCAAAGTAGGCCTCGGTTTTAGGCAACCCCTTCAAAATTTGTGTAAGAATTCGGTTGAATTCAGAAGGTGCTGTCTTTATTCCGAAACTTAGACGATTGACACGATATGTTCCACGGTGTGTTGACATTGTCTGGATAATACTGGACTCTTCGTCGACCTTGAGGTGCAGATAAGCTTTGTACAGATCAAGTTTACAAAAGTAACGAGATCCTCTCAAACTATCGAGTACATCGTCAATTTTTCGAATAGGATGGTTTGCCTGGACTATTCGTTCATTCACACCACACTTGTAGTCGACACAGAGACGAACACTTCCATCTGCCTTAGGTATCACGACTAGTGGTGACCCCCAATCACTTGACGTAACAGGCGAAATGATTCCTTCATTTTCAAGTAAATCTAGTTCCTTGTTGACCTGATCAATAAGAGCATGAGGTACGTTCCGTTCACGATTGAAAATAGGCTTTGCTCCTGATCGAAGATGTAATGATACTGTAAAGTTTGGAACGCATCCAATTTTTGGCTCGAAAATTGGCGCAAATTTTTCAAACAGTTCCTCAACTGAATTTACTGGTTGTAATTGAAGGGTAGTAGCTGGTCGGTTCATTTCAGCGTCAATTTCACACAGTTCAATACCCAGTCCTCGGATCCATTGGCGCCCTAGAAGTGCATCATGACCTGAAGGGACGATGTGAAGGTCACCTTTGAACTGTTTACCCTTGTATGATACAGAAACTGATACCTTTCCCTCTGGTTTGATTATGTCTCCAGAGTAAGAACGGAAAGCTAGCCTTGATGGTTCTACAGGTACGTTCAGATGTAGACGTTCAAAGACATTCTTCGCAAGGAGAGAAAATTTAGCCCCACTGTCAACTTCAAAACATTGCAATTTTCCATTTATAGTGACAGAAACAATGTACTTGTCTGAATCATATCCAACTTCAAATAAATCTACGACATCAAAGTTCTGGTAGATCGAATCAATTTTGTGCACTCCGTAATCAGAAGAGTCGTCACTAGAATAATCGTCATCATTTGATCCTGAATGTAGGTTGTTGGTTGAATTTAACTTTGATGTTGATTTCTTAGTCCTTGACATCAGTGTAGTTATGCAGACCGCAGAGACATGTCCTCGTTTTAAACACTCCCCACATTGGAGTTTATACTTGTGTCTGTTACAATTTGCAGCAATGTGTTTGTTACTTCCACATCTAAGACAGAGGCCTTCTATTCCGAGGGCATTGAAGTCAGGTCTTTTGTTATTTGAACGTTGTTTCCAGTTGAGAGATGTCTTGTTGGATGAGCGATTGTTAGAGAACTGGTGGGATCGTCTGGAAGACCTTGTAATTTTGTGCACTCCAGCCGAATCCATATTAAAGTTGTTAGAACATGCATGTTGGTGAAATTCTTTGCTTTCAACCTTTGATGCTTCAAGAGCAATAGCTTTCTCTAGAATGTCATCAAACTTTGTGTAAACGGATTGTAAAAGGTGTTCCCTAAGCCAATTGTCCTTCAATCCTCGTATGAACTGTGCCCGCAAGAAAACATCAGCAATTGACACAGATGTTCCACATTCATCGTTGGAGCATTCTACTGCAAATTCACATTCTTGAAGATCACGTCTGAGGTCGGCCACAAACTCTGAAATTGACTGGTTTTCTTTTTGAAAGATATTTAAGAAATAATGTTGAGCAACAACAACACTTTTCTTTGGAGTCAATAGTTTCTTGAAGTCATTCAACAGAGTTTCATAATCTAATGATTTGAGTGGCTTGTCTGGGCCCAAAAATGCAGATAGGTTGTTATAATGTTCACTACCTATAGAATTACACAAGAGCTGAGCAATTTTCTTCTTATCAGTCAAACCTTTCATTGTATAATAGTTTTCGAAACGTTCTAAATAGCTGGTAAACTTTTCTTGTTTGGCATTGAAGTTTTCGAATGTAGCAACATTTGACATTGTAGATTGACAGCTTTCTTCTCTGGGTTTTCCAATTGATGTAACAATTGTTTGAATTTGAGCTTGAAACATGTTTGACATCTCACGTACAAGTGCTTTTTGTTGTTCATTGAATGTGTTTAGAAGTAAGGTAAACTGTTGTGCATCCATTACAGTTTGAACTGTATAAAATATTAATGTATCTTGAAACTAGAAATTGAATGTAATTTTTAAAAGTAAATGTGTTGAATTTTTCAGTGGCTAGTTGATTTTCACACTCGTCGCCAATTAAAATGACTCTTATTAATTACAAAATAATTAATAAATGCACGCATATTAACTCAACACAAAATCTATTTCATGAATTTTTACAAAACAAAAACAATAGAAAAACATATGATAGTAAAAATATGTATAAATGAATTATAAACAGTCTTAGAGAAGACATAACAATAGTCATAATGTAATAAGGAATAAGTAATAAGTTCATTTAAGATTGTATTTGTATTGATCAAGTGATTCAGTACTAAGTAAAAGTGTAAAGAAAAAAACGGATTTCTAAAAACATATTTAAATAAAAATATGTTGCTTAAATGTGTTAAAGATGTTGTTCTCGGTAGAAGTGATTGGCGTGGTTACAATATAGCCGCGACAGTGACATTAAGGTGTGAAATTTTCATGTTTGAGACGATCCAACACTCACAAAATCCAAGACTATAAAATTGAAGTGTAGATCTTGTTGTCCAATTTGTTACACAGTATAACTGTACGTAACTCAAGTCAATGGTATGAAAGATTATTTATTATTTATAGCTAAAGAGTGTTATGGCGGATACGTCTATACTGGAATACACTCCCACTAACTACAATCGCAAGCCAGAATCGAACCTGCAGCCCTTCCAAGTGTATTACATTTTCCAATTAATTTCACCATTGGCAATTATACTCTTGTAACCTTTGTTTGGAATAGTACTGTGTTATGGGAACAATGAGTTTGCAATGACGATTATAATACAAACATTTTAATAAAATTACGTAAATTTTATCATAAATAATTGAACATTTATTCATTTCTTAGAATAATGATAATATCAAGGCAAATGTTCTGGCGCAGTGATTCAGAAAAGTAGTTTTTTATATCCATCCCTAAAGTCTTAAGTATTTTCAATTGTAACATCCAGGGTTTGAATACTGAGGTTAAAATCGATGAGTTATATTTACTATTTCAATCAATGAAAATCAAACCGATATTTGTTTGTATTTCTGAGCACTGGTTAAATAATCACAATGCATTTACTATGGAAAACTTAGCAAACTACAAGCTTTCTTCTAAATTTATTAGAGAAAATCAAACAAGAGGTGGAGTCTGCATACTGTCTTACAGCACAATTGAAGCCACAGAAAAACATGACATTTGCAAATTTTCCATACAATCTGTTTTGGAGTGTTGTGCAGTTGAAGCCTCACTAGCTAAACCTGTCTTGGTAGTATGTATATACAGATCACCACACAGTGATACAACAACTTTAAAGAAATTCTTTAATATTCTAAATTCTTTGCTTTCTCATATTGTTAAAAAATATTCTAAGTAGGCTACAGTATATTTTTATGTGGAGATTTTAATTTTGATTTGTTCAAAAAAGAACCTCACACAGTGCATTTCAAATCCCTGATGGAATCTTACAGCATGTTTGCTATTATTTTACAACCCACTAGGATTACTCATGTTTCTAAAACCTGTATAGATAACGTGTTTACTAATGTAGCTTTAGACAGTTGTCAAACTTTAGTTGTAGATACTGACATCTCTGACCACACTTATCAGATTTTATCGACTAATATTAATTATAAAGTAAATAAAAAAAAAAAAAAAACTGAGACCAAAAAGCGATGTTTTAAGAAAGAAAACATGTTAAAATTCCAAGATTCAATCAGTAATGAAAATTGGGATTCTTTATACTGCGCTAAAATCTCTGATCCTAACACTGCTTATAAACATTTTCTTGGTATATTCATGTATCATTATGAATTGGCATTTCCCTTGGTAAAGACAAAGAGCAAGGAGATAACAACAACAAAAAGCTGGCTAACAAAAGGCATTATAATAGCAACTAAGAGTAGGTAATTATAACACTAATACAATAAATAATATATAGTTACTTACTTACTAGGTTGTCAGACACAAAACACTTGGAATCAGAGAGAATACGGATGAGTTTTTTTTCCAAAATGCGGACAAATTGAATTTTGGTTGAACTAAGACGTGAAATTTTGGGAGCGGTATGTATAAGTTGGTGAGGATGAAACAAGTTTTTCCTAACTTAATTCCAAACGCGTGGCAATTATATCCCTGCGGGATATAGGCTTTAGGGTTTGTTGAAAATTAAATTTTTGCCAACTAACACAGCAAACTACAAATTGATTTGCACGACTCCACTTAACAACTCACCCCACGCATAGGATGGTTGGAGACACACTGGTCACTGAGACAGACCCTTGGCTAGAAGCTTTCCCCACCACGTCGTAGGGCCGTTGGGTAAGTCGCCTACGTCTAATCAGCTGAAAACTTCGGAAAAGTTTCGGTTTCGAGATTCGATCACAAAGTTTCAAGATTCAAAAGTTTCGAAATTGAAGATTTTGGCAGTTTTATTTTTGAAACTACTGACATTTTTTTGTGCCATTGTTATTGTTTTTTAGCCTTAAATTTATTTTTAAGTAAATTTTATTCTGAACTTCAAAAGGTATCTTAAATACTATAACTGGTACAATTCAGTTTCACATCAATATTTACTAAATGCAAAAACAAATATTGACCACTGAATGTTCTAATTAATTTAATATTCATGTTTATGTTGGTGTTAGAAGTTTAATTATTTGTTTTGTTAGTTGTTTATAAAAAATTATTTTTGGGATTTAAGATTATCAGTCACATTCACATGTTTATGTTTTGTCATGGTCAGGAATTGATCTCTTTCAGTTTTGATTGCATACTTAACATTTTATGATTATGTGTATTTTTTGTAACCTTGACCTTTGTAACCAGCTAAGTAAAAAAGTTTCGCGTTTAGGTTTTGAGATTCGAGATTCGGGATTTGATTTTTTTAAAGTTTCGGTTTCGGTTTTGAGATTCGAAATTTCTGGTTTAGACCATCACTATTGCATCACATTCGGTACAAAAGAATGAAATTTAAATTTTGCTTGTCGCTTGTTTTGGGCGACACACCAAGCCTTAGTTGCAACCCAAACTTGAGCATAAATGGGGCCTAAGGTAAATATCAGGGGTATCCCAAGGGTTGGCAGCGCCCGGAGCAAACATGGTTGTGGCGCCCCCTCCCCCCCAGTAATAATAGTCGCATTCACATATTTTAATCAATTTTATGTATAGATAATGAGAAAAAAGTTATAAATGAACATAATATTTGTATTAGCAAGCCTATTCTTTAAATATAATAATCTTAAAATTTGGTTGTCCGGATGCAGATAATCTCCTAGGGAGGAATTTGGAAATCCATTAGCCTATGTCTTACTGGGATAATTATGAAGTACTTTTATTTAAGGACTGGTGGTCTTGGTTGTGTTACTTACTTTTTTTAAAGGTGAAAATCAATATGATTAGGCTCAATAATGGAGTGTATTTTAATATTTCATCAAGAATAATAGGCGAGCAGCATTAAACATTTTGGTTTATAAAATATTTCTTAGATAAGGGTAGGGACCTTAATAAAACACAACAATGAATCATAATAGGTAGTCTATAAATTGGAGAAAGTTTTACTGTTTAAAAAATACTTCTTACAACACAATTGAAATAAATAAAGATTATAAGGCGAAGTTAATAGCTGAGCAACCCTTCTGCATTCTTCTGTCATGATATCCTGAAACAAATAAACAATAACTCAAAATTGTTATCAGAACTAAGTAGAGAAAGGGGTGTCTTGTTAGCTTGGTGGTTAATTTACGTCCTTGGCTTTGCTGCAAGAGAAATTGAGATTTACTTAAAGGATCCTTGCACAAGGTGAGAGGATTCAACATAATTTTTCCATGGATATTGCACACACTTGCCCAGCACAGCACAAACCTGCTAACAGCAGGCTACTATTAAAATTAAAGTAAAGTAAAGTACTGTAGAACCAAATCAGATTACGCTCTTGTGTCCACCATAGCACTATAGAACACCAAAGAGCACTAAACGGTTTTCATAGTCTTTTATCAATTAAGAATTAAATGTATCCATTCAAATACATACAAATTATAACCCAGTGAATGATTGAAATACATGTCATGATGAAACCATACAGCGGTAGCCCAAGTACGGCTTCATCATATAAAATCATATGCTAGTTGGTCTGACCATACTGGGCAGGAGTAGAGTGGCCAGCTGTGCTGCGGTTAGCGTATATTCCGGCGCCGACCGCCAGGGGTAATGTGTAGTTACGGCGCACACCGCTGCAGCATCAAGCGCTAGCGACCGTTTCCATAACAACTTGGTAGTTGAGAGTAGTGTTGCCAACTTTGGAGGAATCCCCCAGAATTGGAGTTTATTGACTTATTTAATATTAAGCAATAAATTAATTTAAATGCCATCTTTTATTGTATTTTTTTTTTACATATATTTGTTATACTTTTGTAGTTTCATTACAATGATTCAAAGTTTTTCTTCATTAATCCATAATTTTAGGAAGTGGTTTATTGGAAGGTTTTGTTTTATATTTGCAAGGTCAAAATTAAATTTAACCAGGATGTCTAGTAGTCGGGGAAAACGGGAAAGTCAGGTATTAGTATTGAATTTCAAAATGGTCTGGAAAAGTTGGGATTTAGTCTTTATTTTGATATCAAAGTCGGTAAATTTCATGATTTACCGCTACTCAATCGCGCTAGACAACGATCACGTTTCCGTGATGGCGCAAGACGATGATGTGTCTACACGACCGCGG